AATGCGCAAGGAGGTGTGACGGGAGACTGGGGCGAATGTTTCTGTGTAGTCGGTTCCGTATCGTTGATCGAAACCTCGTACGCCCCATCGAGCCTTGAATCGTTCGATGGAGCCGTCCGCATTGGTCTTGATGCGGTACACCCACTTTCCCGAGAGTACATTCTTCCCGTTGATGTTCGTTGCAGGTACCGGCTTCCATGTATTTCGGTCTTGCAGAGCTTTCAGTTCCTTTTCCATTGCCTCCTTCCATTTCGCCTTATGTTCCCCCCCCAGAGCCTGCGACAGAGTCGTTGGCTCGCGCGGAGACGGTGGCGGCGGGTGCTGGACGGAGACCCATAAGCCGAGTATCTGCAATCCCGTGGGTGTGTGTCGAGGGGAATTTTCATTCCCGGAATAGGCTGCTTCGTCACCATCTTCTGGATCAGGTAAGAAGTTGAGGCCGATGCGTTCTGAGATATTCGTGTCGACCGGGTGAGGTGTAGCGTAACCTTGGTCAGCGAAGTGGTAGAGGGTGTCGAGGTTGTTGCTATCGAGAGGATTGTCTACGTCGAGTGGAACAGGTACGTAACAGAAAGGGAGTGGTCCGGCATCTTCCGAGGCTCCAGGTATGTCTTCTTCTGCTGCGTCAGCCTCGGCAGCACGGTCGGCGAAGGACCGAAGGCCCGCGAAGCCGTCGGTGGGGTCATGTGTGTTGGCGACGTTGTCCAGGTAATGCTGCAGCGTCAGTCGCTCGTAGAAAATCACATCACGTGATGCCACGGTATTTTTGTCGTGTATGTCGAGGGGTTTCCATGCTTGGAAATGTTTGGCAATGCCGAGGTGTAGTCCCCACCGTGCTCGTTGAGTGAAGCGTCCTGCTCTAGCTGTGTGGGGTCTGTACTGTACCATGCAGCCGAAAACCCGAAGTAATTTTGTGCTGCCCCTTTTTCGTGTCCACGGCAGGTGCGGTGATGCGTTGTTGGGAAGCGAGGACGAGGATAACAAATTGTGCAGGTGGACTGCATGTGTCATCGTGTCTGGCCACAGTGTGTTGGGCAGTCTCATCCCCAGGAGCAGCTTCCGCATCGTCGTCTGCAAGGTGCGGTTCATTCTTTCTGTGACCCCCTGCTGCTGGTGTGCATAGGGCAGAGACACCAGGTGTCAGATTCCTCTTTCCGCCAAGTAGTTCCTGAAGCGTTGTGACTGGTATTTCAGTGCGCCGTTTGACAGGAAGCTCTTGAGCTTAGTTCCTGATTCCCGTTTAGCGATGGGGAGCCACATCGTGAACGCTTCGAAAGCTTGATCGCGTGTCTTGAGGTTGTAGGGCCAGACATATCTTGTTGCTGCATCGATGAACGTGATGACATAGTTGAAGGAGGCTTCTGTGTCGTCTCGAGGCATGTTTAAGATGTCGCTGTAAACCTTTTCCATCGATGCGTATACAGGTGCGCTTGGGCTGTGATGTGATGGAAAAGGTTGGTGGGGAAGATCTGCTTCGGGGCACGTGAAGCACCGTGCGCGTGGTCGTCGAAGTTCTTGGCCGCTCGTTGTAAGAAGAGCGTTTCGTTCTAACACTTCGGCTTGGATGGTTTGTAGTACTTTGCTATTTGCAGGGTGCCCGAGTCGTTGGTGCTAGATGTCGTCGGGGGCGCGATGGCCGGGCGAGCGTTGGTACATGTCGGCGTTGGAGAAGAACGCGACGACCGTGGCGGGAATTCGGCAGACTTCTCGTGTGATGGGCATAAGTTGATCTGCTTCGGTTGGCGGTCCTCGAATTGCTGGTGATGGTACGCGGCTGGGTCCCGCTGCTGTTACTTCAGGTGATGTCGAGGAAGGGACGCTTGCTGGTACTTGTCTTTCTTGTCGAATGACTGCTAACGCCCGTGTTCTCTCTGCTGCAGGTATGGTGTTGGAGTACCAGAAACCATCTTGGGTAAAGTCGGGGTCAAGATCCGGCGGGTGTGTCCATGCGGCGAACGACACGATGCCATCGCTGTCGGCAGTACCGCGGTCGGGGACGAAATCCAACACGAAGACGCCCGACTTCAGGAGAGCGCGACCGATGAAAAGACCACCCTTCCCGTGGTAAAGACGAAATTCGTTGGAGTTCGAGTCGCATTCCAGGTGAATCCCTTTTGCCATTAACTGGCTGACGCTGAATAAGTTGTATCCCAAATTGTCGACGATGAGAACTTTGTTGAGTTGCAGTATAACGTTTGTCTCCATGGACTGCAACTGAACTATTCCTTGTCTGTTTGTTTTCAGGTTCTCGTTGTTGGCGACGGTGATGATGACATCGCGGTTGAGACGTCGCTCTCGTTGTACGAAGCGCCCGGAAGAACACATATGTTGGTCGCAATAGCTGTCCAAGAACCAAGTGTTTCGCCCGGTGGGTTCGGCGTTGGCGACTGCAGCGTACGTTGGGTTGACCTGAAGTCCTTGTGAGCGCGGCGGCGACAGTTCTTCTTCATCTGGAGCGTAAGTGGGCGGTGATCCGGGTGCGCAGTTGTCGATGTGTACCATGCAATTGATGATGTTCAGTGTGCCTTGTGCAGATGTGGAGGAACGCCTTGGCGGGCTTTCTTGAGTGGAAGCGACTTGTGGGTCTACCGGACGATAAGCTCGGAGACGTGTGCACTTGAGTTTGGAGTGTCCAGATGTTCGACAGTTGTGGCAGAACGGCGGCACAATGGTGAGTCCTCTGTTGTCACGTTGATCTTGCTTGCCGCGTCGGTTGTAGTTGTTATTGTTCCTTCGTTGAGTGTAGAAGACTAACGGTTGCTGTTTCCTTGGCTGTCTTTCTTCAAACAGGTCCATCTCCTGTTGTTCAGCATGGAGCTTGGCGTAGAGGTGCATCTCCGAGATTCGTCCGTGGGCGTGAAGAAGCGAGCGGGTGGTTCTCCATTCTGGCCCGAGCCCAGCGAGGACAAGTGTCACGAAGCTTTCTTCAGTGATTGTTCCTCCGCACCGAAGCAAGTGATCGCGGAGTGTCTGGCAGCGACTCATATACTGCATCGCCTTTTGCCCGTTTTTCATTTGTATTGTTGTCAACTGCTGCATGAGTCTGCTTTGTGTCATGCTGTCGTTTGCTTGATAGAGACACTTGAGATGATGCCACGCGAGTTCCGCGGAGTTTCCATAGCTCCGATACGTTCTGATGCTTTGCTGTTCTTGTGGTGACAGGTTCCGAAGGAGAACTGTATACGCCAGCAGCGACTGATAAGTAAATATTTCTTGCTCCTTTGCAGTGCCATTGCTTGGAAATGGCAGGGACCCGTTGAAGTATCCCAAGAGGTGCGCAGCCTCCATCAGCAGCTCGAACTCAAAGCTCCATGTAAAGAAGTCGTGTCTGTTGAACGGTGAGGATGTCTGCAGTTGATCACGTGTGAAAACTGTTGCTGTAGACTCAGTATCTCGTTTGGTGTCTGTTGTGATGCAGCTGCTGTTGGTTGGGCACGGGGCGGCATGAACTCGAACGTCCCCGGTGAAGAGTGATAAGGCGCAAAGGTAGGCGCTTGATTGTGTCGCCCGAACGATGAGTTGTCGAGGCTCATCGGCGCTAATCCTATGTTTCCTCCGTTGCTCTGTGTTGAATGCGCAGGTGTCCTTGTCTGCTGCTGCTAGTCGAAGTGCGACATGAAGCTGAAAAACCTTTCCATAAGGTTTGGGTCCACGCTTGAAGAGGGTGATGGAGTCACCATTTCTGGTGTTCTTCCTGTTGTTTCTTGAGCAGCGCCGGTCTCGGTCTGCAGTCCTGAAGTGTGCAGTCCAGAGTTGCTGGGTTGAGTGTGTTGGCCACTGGGTGAGCCCGTAGAAATCTTCTTGCCCTTGTTGTCCATGACTAGTAATCAATGAAGTCGTTGGTGTGCTGATTGTAGATAGAGCGTAGTTGCTGGGAGTTTGGTCTCTGACCAGCTCTCATACCATGTTGGGCTGAGAAAAATGCCCTTAGGATCTTTTCAGAGACTAAGTCCTAGTTGTAAAAGGAGACTTTGAGTAGTGCAGCGGAAGTTGAGTAGTTGAACCCTTGTACTAGTATGTGAGAACAAGTGATTGATTAAAAGAACAAGCATACATCAATATATAGAAAGTAGGAAAGTAAAGCAGTTGTAGAATACAGTTGAAAGAGCGGTTATCGAGTCGCACAGCGACTCGATTGTCGCTTCGGTTACCATCTTTGCAGTTGTAACTGTCAGTTGCAACCTCCAATTGCGACCCTTCGAGTCCTTTCGTGTTCTTTGTCCACCCCCTCGTGTAACCTCCGTTGACTCGCGTACCCGTTACGACCTTTATCGAGTGTAGTGTTACACTTCAGAAACGCTTAAGTTCTCGAGATATTTCCAACACAAAGGTTCAACTACTCAACTTCCGCTGCACTACTCAAGTATCTTGTACAACTAGGACTTTATCTCTGAAAGATCCTAAGGGTTTTTCTCAGCCCAACAACAGTTTCGCCATTGCCCTCCGCGCTACTCCGCTGTTCCATTCATAACACGCTCAATCTAAAGTGGCAACATCTTTTGTTACCATCTTATGTCCCACCCAATGGCGTCTCGTGTAACCATTCCATGCTTCTAAACAAAAACCAACCATCTCCATCTTTCCATTAGTTTAAAAAATCGTATGAACTCGTAACCATCGAAAATTCCTCTGCAATGAGGTCCCTCATCTCGTGCAAGCTTGCTAACATTTTATGATCATATTCCTGGTAAGAATCAGCAGCGATTAGACGTCACGGTGTGTACTTTCTACCAAATCCTGATCTTGGACCGCTGTAGCGGTTTACCATGATAACAGCAGTTCAGTACGTTTGACGTACTTACAGTACGGTGGAGAGCAAGTTCAAGAAAGTAAGGGTGTGTCCAGCGCGTACGTTTTTACTTTTGTCAAAATTACCCAACCGTTTTAGATTTGTTATTAATCCTGCTGATCCTTAAGGCACCTCACCCAACCGCAATCAAACGTACGCGCTGGACGCGCCCTAACTCGCCAAGTCTGTTCTCTTGATCTTTCCTCATCCTCCACATGCTTTCCTTACACGCTCCGCCATAACTCACGGCGTTGCTTACTCCTCGCGTCCCTCGACCTATCACAAGTCACGTTATTCTTCCCTTGGCGGGTTATTCAGAGCTTCTTGCGTATCTCACGGCTTTGACCTAGTCGCGGAAACTTCCGGCTTGCCTTGCTGGTGCAGTGGCCTCTAAGCTCTGCTGCCTAAGCGACAGTCTGGGACGGCCTTGGGTGTAGCACGTTAAGAAAGCGCTCAGAAGCTTCGAGAGGCGTGTTTCGATTCGCTGCGTCTGGTCTTTAAGACGCGTTCTTTCGAAGACTGCCGCGAAAAGAATACCCGGAAAATACTTTTTGCAGCTGCACGCGTGTCGCCGTCGCTCCGCTTCAGCTCCTGATGCCAAAGATTAAGACGAACCGCGTTAAATACCCGGAGGGATGGGAGCTGATAGAGCCCACGTTGAGAGAGCTAGAGCAGAAGATGCGAGAAGGTACGTCGGATTCATCGCGAGTAGTCAAGATCGCAAGTCTCGGTAAGGGAATTGCCTAGCCGTTGAATAATTTTGCGTTTCTAGAGAAGGAGAGTGGCTTTTGAGTCGGCTCAAAGGAGAATGGAGGAGGATTCGTTAATCTGGCTTCGCCTGAGCTGCTCTTTGCTTCGCGTGGAAGTTTCCGCCCATCTGACTCATCTGTTTGAAAGCTCGCTCATGCGTCGCCTTCAACCGGAAACTCTAGTCACTGAGAATGCGTAGCATTTCTGCTTGGGGTGACAGATAATCGAACACAAGTGCGGGCCACGTAGGCCGTTTCACGTCTCGTTTCGTCAGTAAGGCCCAACAAGGAATCCCCTACGATCCTCTGATTCTCGCTTGTTCTCTTTCTGAAGCTCCCTCTCCAATTTTCCTCGTTCTACCCCCTCCCCCCCCCCTCCCCCCTCCTCTCCTTCCGTCTTCTCCCAAGTTCCCTGGGCCCTTCTTCCTCCCAGCTTCCCCAAACTCCAGTCCTTTTCAAACAAGTTCCCTCTCATTCTGTACCCTCCCCTTCCCTCATACGGAGAGCCACACTCACAACGGCAAGCGAAAGCCCGAGGCACTGTGAAGGCTTACGTTCTCTTCTATCTGCCCCCTGTTCCCTCCATGTCTCTTCACTTCCCTCACACCTGCTTCGTCTTCCTCCCTTCCTCTCTTTTTCCCTCCCTCTTACACACGAGGGCATGCGCAAGTGCCAGTTGCAGTGGCCTACGTTCTCTTGAATATTCTAAAGCCCCTTTCATCATTCAGATTCCCTCCCATTCTCTTTAATTGCCTCCGATTCCCCTCCCCTCCCCTCCCCTCCCCTCCCCTCCCCTCCCCTCTCCTCCCCTCTCCTCCACTCCATCCCCTCCTTTCCCCTCCCTGTCAACAGTGGAGAGTGACACGCAGAAGTGCAAGCGCAAGTGTGAGGCGCTGTGGCCAAGGTCTCACACCAGAAGAGCCCTTGAGTTAACCTCAATTCCCCGTTCAATTTTTAGCAAGGTCTTCCCATTCTATACAATTCCTGTTGACCCCCTCAACAGCTGAGAGTGACACGCTCGAGGGCGGGCACAAGTGCGAGGCGCTGTGGCCGCAAACTTCTTGTTTTTGCCGCAAGTTCCCTCACATTTACCTTTATTCCCTCCCTTCCCTCCCCTTCCCCCCACTCTTTCCTCGTTAACAGCGGAGAGCGACACACACGAGGGCAAGCGCAAGTGCGAGGCGCTGTGGCCGATCTTCAAGATCTCGCACCAGAAGAGCCGCTACATCTACGACCTCTACTACCGGCGCAAGGCCATCAGCAAGGAGCTCTACGACTTCTGCATCGAGCAGAAGCACGCCGATGCCAGCCTCATTGCCAAGTGGAAGAAGGTCAGTGTCCTGTCTGTGTAGTTAATAGGGCGCTGTAGAAACAGCAGTGCAGTGCATATGTGCATCTGGACCCGGTTGCGCCTGTGCTAGTGGTGGCAGACAGTGCCACCTGGCACCTGAGAGTCGTTTCAGGAACCTGGCACCTCAGATTTGCGGTGCTGGTTGGAGGCGTTTCAGTCACCTCGCAAATACTATCGAGGCGTCAAGTTGTGCTTGCACGGTTGAACCAGATGTCTTTGCGGCTGTGCAGTAGCATGCGGTTCCAAAGCCGCAGCTCTGGCACTGCATGTGTGTGCAGGGTGCTACGACCCTTTTTGAGGCGCCTTAAAATGTCTTTACGGCTGTGCAGTAGCATGCAGTTCCAGGACTGCTCTGGCACTGCATGTGTGTGCAGGGCGCTATGACCCTTACCCTTATCCCAGACTCATGTCCCTTTCTCTACCTGCTATCCCCGCATGTGTATCCTCCTCTCCATTCCCCTGCAGCCTGGGTTTGAGCAGTGTGCTGCGTGCGGTGCATGCAGCCCAAGGAAGGACCACAAGTTCGGCACGACGTGTGTGCCAGGTGCCTTACCCGTTTCCCCTCGTATTCACCATCACCTTTCCCACTCGCATGCCCTCCCATCTCCCTGCAGCCGGGGTTTGAGCGGCTGTGCTGTGTGCGGTGCATGCAGCCCAAGGACCACAACTTCGGCACCACTTGTGTGTGCCGGGTGCCCAAGCACCTACGGGAGGAGAAGGTGATCGAGTGCATACACTGTGGGTGCAGGGGGTGTGCCAGCGGGGATAGCTGATGCTTATGGCCGGCTGGGAAGGGGTAATGGGGTGGAAGGGGGCACCAGAGGGAGAAGAAGGTGGCTGAGTGCAAACACTGCGGGTGCAGGGGGTGTGCCAGCGGGGATAGCTGATGCTTATGGCCAGCTGGGAAGGGGTAATGGGGTGTAAGGGGGCACCAGAGGGAGAAGAAGGTGGCTGAGTGCAAACACTGCGGGTGCAGGGGGTGTGCCAGCGGGGATAGCTGATGCTTATGGCCGGCTGGGAAGGGGTAATGGGGTGTAAGGGGGCACCAGGGGGAGAAGAAGGTGGCTGAGTGCATACACTGCTGGTGCAGGGGGTGCACGAGTGGGGATAGCTGATGCTTGTGGGGGGTGAGTTGAGAGAGAGAGAGAGCAGGTACAGGGGAGGGAGCCCTAAAGGGGAAGAAATTGATCGGGTGCATGCACGGCGGGTGCAACTGTCTGCGAGTGGATAAACCGGTACCTGATACTGCAGCACAGGTCTCGAGGGGAGAATTGTCCATAATAAAAGTTGCTTGACAAGCTTAATTGATTGGTACCGTATTCCCCCGGATAATGGACCCCCCCGGTAAGAAAGTTCATGGGTTCTTTACCCGGGGGTGGGATCATTCATTTTGGCAGACCTCGTGAGGACCCGCTTTTTGGCATTTAACATTTCAAGACCCCCCAGCTTTGTTTTCGTGCAAGTTTTACTGAAATGAAGCGATACATGAAATCAGGGATGGCAGACTCACTGTAACTGTGCCTTCGTTCTTGCAGCAGGGGTGATGGAAGTCAAAATGCCATCGCGTCACGTCAACACGCGAAAATTTGCAGCCGTCGCTGCTGGAAATTTGACGCGTGTCATTCAGGTGACACGGAAAAATGACGATAAGAGGGTTCTGTTTCCGCGGTAAAAATATAACTCCCTATGTAGAAAGGTTGTACATCCATAACAATAGACACTCAAGTGTAAAATACGTGAACATGGTGTCACGAGAGCTAGGTAGCTAGGAAGCCATGTGTTGGGCTGAGAAATGCCCTTAGGATCTTTCCAGAGACTAAGTCCCAGTTGTAAAAGACTTGAGTATGTCAACTTATACATATTATCTATGTAGAAGTTATAGGCTAGACTGAGGTATGCTTCTAGTGAGTACAACCAACTAGTATTTGTTCTAGGTTTCCACCTCTAGTAATCATTCGTTTCTACGTTAACATGGTATCACGCTTAGGTTAGGATCCCCCCGCCTACCGCTTCCGCCCGTCGCGCCTCCTAGGCCCCGTCGCGCCCCCTAGGCCCCGTCGCGCCCCCCCTGGGCCCCGTCGCGCTCGTTAGGCCCCGTCGCGCCCCCCCTGGGCCCCGTCGTGCCCGCTGGGCCCCGTCGCGCCTCCTAGGCCCCGTCGCGCTCCCCCTAGGCCCCGTCGCGCCCGCTGGGTCCCGTCGCGACCCCTAGGCCCTAACGCGCCCCCGCTGGGCCCCGTTGCGCCTCCTAGGCCCCGTCGCGCCCCCCATGGGCCCCGTCGAGCCCGCTGAGCCCCGTCGTGCCTCCTAGGCATCGTCGCGCCTCCTAAGCCCCGTCGCGTCCCCCCCCTCTGGGCCCCGTCGCGCCCGTTCGGCCCCGTCGCGCCCCTCCTAGGCCCCGTCGCGCCCGCTGGGCGACTTCGCGCTTCCTAGGCCCCGTCGCGCCTGCTAGGCCCCGTCGCGCCCCCCCTGGGCCCCGTCGCGCCCGTTAGGCCCCGTTGCGGCCCCCCTGGGCCCCGTCGTGCCCGCTGGTCCCTGTCGCGCCTCCTCGGCCCCGTCGCGCCCCCCCTGGGCCCCGTCGTGCCCGCTGGGCCCCGTCGCGCCCCTTAGGCCCCGTCGCGCCCGCTGGCCCCTGTCGCGCCTGCTGTTAGCGCTCGCCCGCCTGGCCTCCTCCTAGTGCCGCTCGGCCTCCTCCTAGTGCCGCCCGGCCTCCTCCTAGTGCCGCCCGGCCCCTTCCTAGCGCCGCCCGGCCTCTCCTCAGCGCTGCCCGGCCCCTCCTCGTGCCCGACCGGCCCCAGCAGCACCAGCCTGGCCCCTCCCAGCACCAGCCCGGCCCCAGAGCACCTGCCCGCCTCCCCTGCTCGGCCTGCCGTGTCCTCTCGGGCCCTGTGTCTTCTGCTTGCCTGCGCTGGGACGCCTAGCTGCTGCCCTACTGGAGAGTGCTGCCGCCGTGTCCCCGCGCCGCTGTGCTCCTGTGCCGCTGAGGAGCTGTGCTGCTGTGCCGCTGTGTCGCTGAGGAGCTGTGCCGCTGACCCTGCACGATGGCTGACTTTGTGCTCCGCCTGGACGCTGAGGGCCACGCGGTTGACTTCGCCGCCTGGCTCTCCGATCTTCGCCGCCAGCTTACAGGTCAGCGCCAGGATGGCCACTCTCTGGTTGTCCATGCTGATGGCTTGCTTCCCCGTCCCCCTGCACCTACTCCCCTCCCTGCTGACCCCTCCTCTGATGACCGTGAGGCTTTCTCTACTGCTGCGCTGGCCTGTGCGATCTGGGACTCACGCGATGCAGTAGCTCAGGTTGCTATTAGTCACGCCCTCCCTGTGTCTGAGCGCTCGCGTTTTGCTACTGTTGAAACGGCCAAAGCTTATTTAGACGCCGTTATTGCTCGCTATTCCACCCCTGCCTCCGCTTCTGCTGGCCGCTTGCTCTTTCCGATGCTGTTCCCAGACCTGGCTGCCTTCCCTACTGTCGCAGATTTTGCCACTCATTTGCGTGCCCTAGAGACTCGCTATCGCACTGCCAGCACTGCTGCCCAGCTCACTGCGCTCCCCCCTCCTTTCTGCATGACGCTCTATTTTATCGCTATGCGCCTGCCAGACCGCCTCGCTAGTGCTCGCGACCACTTTCTTAGCCAGCACCCGGGTGACCTCACCCTGACCGCCTTTGTCGACACCCTCACTGAGATCGAGACTCGCCAGCGCACTATCGCTCAGTCGAGCGGTGCGCCGCCAGTCTCTATCTTTCACGGCTGTGCCCCATCCCCGTGCACGTTCACTGACGTTTCGGCTGCGGTCGCCACGGCGACCCCTCTTACCGAGACGGCTGCTGCTGTCCACCCGCAGCAGCGCTCGCGTCGCGGTGGCCGTGGCCGCCAGGGAGGTAGGGGTGGTGACGCAGGTGGTAGTGGTCGTGGTGGTGGTGACGGTAGTCCGCCTGAGGGGACTACCACCGGTGGGCAGGAGCAGCAGTCCCAGCAGCAGCAGGACCAGCCCCAGCCGCAGCCGCCGTCCCAGCAGCACCCGCCGCAGCCGTGGGCTCGTCTCCCGCCTGGTTGGCCCGGCACCTCCGGAGGCGGTGGCCGTGGTGGCGGCCCGCGCAGCTTGGCGTCTACCAGCGGCTCCAGTGCTGTGACCTGCCAGTACCAGCTTCAGACCGGGCCTCTCCGCGGCACTCTGTGCCGCCGCCCGCACCCGACCGCCCGCTGTTTCCGCCGCCTCGACGATCTTTTTCGTCGTCGCTTTGGCCCGGCCCCGGACCTCCTTGACTGGCACAGCCTGCTCCGCCAGGGCGTGCCGATCTTTGAGTTAGACATGGATCAGATAGGTGCTGCTTTGCATGCTTTGTATGCTGACGCTTCTAGTGTTGATGGATCTTACTACCCTGTGTACTCTAGTTTAGGTGTTTCACCCTTGTGTAGCTTAGCTTCCCCTGCTGCGACAGGCGTAGGACTGCCTAGGTTGCCTAGTCTAGTCGCTGCACCGGCTCTGTCCCCGGCCCTCGCCACTGCGTCGCTGTCCTTCACTCTCGACTCTGGTGCTTCTGCCTGCTTCTTCCGCGACCGTTCCACGCTCACGCCGCTTGCTGCACCTGCTGTTGTCTCTCTCGCTGACCCCTCTGCGGGTCCGGTCGTCGCGCGCAGTTCTACGTCCCTTCCCTGTCCGGCAGTTCCCTCGGGCTCCCTTACTGGCCTCCACGTTCCCTCGTTCTCCAGGAACCTGGTTGGTGTCGGCTGTCTCCAGGACCTCGGCGTCACCACCACGTTCCCCGGGCACGAGCGGTTCGCTATCTGTTCTGAGGCTGTCTCAGGTTCCCCCCTTGCGACGTTCCCCCGGGACCCGGTGTCCGGTCTGTTTACCCTACACACCGCTTCCCCCCCGGTTGGTGCGTCCTCCCAGGTCGCTGCAGCTTGCTCGTGTCGGTCCCTCACTCACCCCTCCCTTCTCTGGCACCACCGCTTAGGTCACCCTGCTCTCCCGCGTCTGCGTCACATGTCCCAGCACGGTCTTGTCTTAGGTCTCCCCGCGTCGCTCCCTGCCCTTCCTCCCTCGACTGCGCCACCGTGCACGCCTTGCGTCGAGGGTCGGCTCCGCCGTGCTCCTCACTCCTCCTCGCTGCGTCCTGCTACTGCCCCCCTTCAGACCCTGCACTTGGACGTTTGGGGCCCTGCCCCCGTCCCCGGACCGCGCGGTGAGCGCTACTTCCTTGTGCTTGTCGACGACTACACGCGCTACACCACGGTGTTTCCCCTGGAGCGGAAGGCCGACGTGCCCGACGTTCTTCTCCCGTGGGTTGTGGCTGCGCGTCTCCACCGCGGTCTCCCCGTGTTGTGTCTCCACTCCGACCGTGGCGGCGAGTTCGCCTCTGGTCGGCTTGGACAGTTCTGTCGTGCGGAGGGCATCACCCAGTCGTACACGTTGCCGGACTCGCCACAGCAGAATGGGGTTGCTGAGCGCCACATCGGCTTGGTCATGGAGGTCGCCCGTACCTCCATGATCCATGCCGATGCCCCCCATTTTCTGTGGCCGTTCGCTGTTCGCTACGCGGCTCACCAGCTTAACCTGTGGCCACGCTCCCAGCGGCCGCAGGTTTCGCCGACCCTCCTTTGGACCGGGTCCCCCGGTGACGCGTCTGCGTTCCACGTCTGGGGCTGCCTTGCTCACGTTCGTGCCTCTGGCACGGACAAGCTCACTGCCCGCACTGTCCCCTGTGTCTTCCTCGGTTTCCCCCTGGACTCGTCTGACTGGCTTTTCTACCACCCGCCGTCTCACCGCTTCCTCCACTCTCGTGACGTCACCTTTGATGAGTCCGTCTCCTTCTACCGCCGCTTCCCTCACCGAGGTCTCCCAGTTGCCCCCCCCCTTTTCCTTGCTCCCTCTCCCCCGGTAGCCCCTGCCCCTCTCCCGCCTCGTCCTGCCCCGTCTGGTGTCTCCCACGTCACTCCCCTCCCGTCGGTTGTCCCCGTTGAGGAGTCTGCTGACTCTGGTGGTACCCCCGGTCCGTCCTTGCCGCGTCCCCCTTCCCCGGTGCCTCCGCCCCCACTGTCGCAGTCGCCGACCCCGCTGCCGCCGCCGTCGCCGTCGCCGCCGCAGCCGTCGCCGCTGTCGTCGCCGCCGCCGCCGCTGTCGCTGCCGCAGCCGTCGCCGCTGTCGCCGCCGCCGCAGCCGTTGCCGCCACTGCTGCCGTTGCTCTCGGCCCCTGGGGGTGCTGGTGTGGACGAGGGTGTTCGTCCTACGGCTTCTGGGGGTGCCGCTGGTGTTGGAGGGGGTTCTCGCTCTGGGGGTGTTGGTTCTGGGGGTGCTGCTGTTGAGTGTTCTGCCGACGGTCGTTCTGCCTCTGCTGGTCCGAGAGTTCCGGCCCAGCCGTCGTCGCCGCCGCAGCAGCCGTCGCCGCCGGTTTCCGCTCTCCGCCTGCTCGGCCTTCCCTCCCCGGACCGCGCGCCGGTGTCTCCCCCACCGCCTCCTGACCTCCCTGTCTACGGTCCTGTGTTCCCGCCGCCAGACTCGTCTCCGGCCCGTCTTCCTCCTCGTTCCCCTCCTGTGTCTCCTCCGCTGTCCCCTGACCCTACCCCTCCGTCTCACGTTTGGGCTCGCCGTCCCTCCCGTGCTCGTCCCGTCTCTCCTGTCCTGCCCACCCACCCTATGTTGCTCCGTTCCCACTCGTCTCGTCCTCCCCTCCTCCCGTCCCCTCCTCCCTCGTCCCTTGCTGTTGCACCTCCTCCGTTCTCTGACTACCTCCGTGCTGCTCGTCCCCTTGTCCCTCGGGTCCTTGCCTCTCTTGTTACCGACCCTGCTGT